GGGATCGAACTTGGGTCCTTGTGCTTGCAAGGCAGGCCACCAAACCACTGAGCTAAATCCCTGGCCCGTTTCTTTAATTCTTATAAAATTAGAAAAGCATCTAAGGCCAATAATTGTAGTTTTATTACATTCTTATGGTTTTCACATATCTCTAATTATGACATGATTTCCTCTGGAATGCAATAGTTATCAGAATCATGATTCTTTGTTCTTAACAAAGAGGGACTTTGTTTTGCTTTCCTACTATTTTTCTTAATAGCCCACAAGTACATGCTTGATTTCCTTGTTGACTCAACAGAGTTTTAGAAGTTTCTTGTATGCTGCAAGGGATTTTTCATGTAAACCTAGCCAATAATATGTATTTTTATTATGATGATTAGACACTCTAGCCTCTGAAATTGTTGGTTTTGCCTTTTTTACACTTATGGCATCCATTCTGAACCCTAATTTTATAAAGAAGTCACAGACTTAGAAAAGTAGGCTCCTATTTTTAAGTTAGAAATGCACACTTTTTGTATCAGATCAGTGTCAGTGATTGTATTATTCAAATTCTGTTTTCATTTTGGCATGGCTGTTTTGTAGAAGGATTTGAAAGCACAATACTGATACAGGTGAAATATAATTCCCAACCTGCTAGGTGTCAGATGTGTTCAGCTTGCGTCCACTGAAAAAGAAGAGTGAATTCCAAGGAACAGTGGAGATTAAGAGTAGGAAAGATTTATGGAAAGATAGCTCCTGAGAGACAGGAGAGTTCCAGAAACTGGGTTGCCATGGAGGCCACTTCTCCAAGAATGTTTTATAGAGCAAAGTTGTGAGGTGAATACAACTTAGGTTGAAGTATATCAACCAATAAGAATGCAAGTATAGCCACTTAGCCAATATTTATCAAACAGGGAAGCAGGCCATGTAGCAAGGGTACATGGAAAGAAGAATTTCTGGGAAGCTCCCGGTCAGCCTTTGGCAGAGGCTCAACTTCATGATGACAATATAGAAAAGATATAGATTTAATTTCTTCATGGAAGCAAGTGTGAATGGTCACTGACCCTTTCCTTATTTAGAAACAGGAGTTTGGCTTGCACAGGACTTGTGTTTCCAAATTCACTGAATTCCGGTTTCCTTATTGGTAGCACCTAACCAGGGCAGGGAAATATCCACTTTAATGCTCCATTGCACTTTCAGCCAACACTGGTGCACAGAAGAGAGCCAGCTTCAGAGGTCCCCAGACTAAGGACAGAGGGGTAAACAAACCATCCGGCCAGTTGTCCTTAAGCAGGATGCACATTTGAGTCATTCTCTTCTTCCCAGCTTCTGGGTCCCTGAGACCCTCAAATAATGAAGTAAACGAAAAACCAACCAACCAACCAACCAACCAACAAACAAACCACGCAGCCATCCTCTGGGATTTTTCTTTTGACCCTCTGGGTCATATTGTTTTATTTTAGGATCTGCAGCTCCCATTTCTCTCCTCTCTGCCTCACGTGGCCATTCCCCTAATGGGCATGGCATCGAGCTCTGTTCACAGAGTGAGGCATGGATGGACTTTGAGGGAGGGCACATGTATCCAAGGGTGGAACCAAAACTCTAGCGGCTTCAGAAACTAGAGCCTGCTGCAGAGAAACAGTTGCCCTTGATTTCTGGTTGGTACAGAAATAAAGTTGGCACAGAGAAAGCACTGGTAGATCATCAGTACTGGATAAAATAAAAGAGATCAAAAAAGTCTCAGAACAAAAATCTAGCTGTTGATTGTTTTCCTTATAACTTAATGAGAAGTTTTAAATATTTGTAATATTAGTAATAATTATAATATTAGTACTAATATTTCTAATAATTGTAAGAATTATCTGCATCATAGTCACAATGCCTAAATTCCAGTGTTTTGGCCTGAAGGTGAAAATCTTACCAAAAATATCTCTGAGGCACTACTTATAAAATGCTCTGCTGATGGAGTGGGAGAACGTGGGAGGCACCAGAGCAGTGATTTGGGCACGGTCCATCCTAGGAAGTTTATCTCCCAAAAGTAACGCACCAGGGTACTTTGCCAAGATGGGATCTGGCAAATGGACACAATAGTGTCTCACTTCTTTCAAGTCAGAATCCCTGAGACCCAAATACAAAGCCATTTTCAAGGGTCACAGCCCAGTCGATAGATAAATGAGGATCATGCAAAGTGAATATGCTATATACCACATAAAATTTGTAAAGATGGACTAGGGAGTCTCTGGAAACAAAATGATTATTTGGACTGGGCTCGTTGAGTGGGAAAAAAATGGAAATGTGCCAAGAGAGGAAAAACAGAGTCTATTCAGGGGATTTTGAGAGCGAGGGTACAGAGGCTGGAGAGCTGGGTGGCTGTGGGAGTGGTGGGTTTTGTGTGTGTGGGCATGGGTATGCAACTTTTCTGTTGTACCTAGAAGAGCATTCAGAGGTCAGTTTAGAAAGGAGGAGATTGTAGAAAGCCCGGGGAGACAATCACGGACCCTTGGACTTCATTCTCCTGACCACAAGGAACGAGATGTGGAGGACTGATTGCCCCATCCATGCACCAAGTGCTAGATAGGTAGAAATAATGCACTAAGGTCTTTCTGGTGACCAGTCAGATGGTCACCACAGGATGTCCCAGTCCCTGGAATCCTCAGTGAGGTAACTTTATACGGAAGTCACTACAATGCATGTCATGAACAGGCTTTTGCAGTCAGCCCTATATGGAAAGATTTTAAGGTATCACCTTTATTTCATAAGCTTTAGAACATATTGAGAAACATATGAAGATACATGAAAACATCTGAAGTTATATCCAATATTTATCCAACAAAGATAATTGATTCTACAATGTGTGCCAAATTATATGAAACATTCTCTAAGCATCTAAAAATAATATTTGATATTTCTTCAGATATATTTTCGTTTCTGCTGATATCTGCCTTGGGCCTGACAATTTTCATTCTGTTTTCTGATTTTCAAGACATATACCAAGGGATGGAGGTAAGTGCCCTTTATTTGCACCTCTGGTCTGAGTCCATGTACCCTGGATCATCTTCACTATCCATTATAATCCACAAGCCGATTGTTACCACAATCTCTCTGATCACTAAATATCTTTGAACATATTCAATCTTTATTTGTCAACTAAATATTTTTAAAGAGCATTTTGTTTTACTTTTTAGCCCTTTAGTTTTTTATCAGCACGTGTCTGAGACAGGTGATAACCACATGCACCTTGGGAAATCGGGACCTATACTAGCAGTGCACGTCGCATCTTGGTCATTCTTCCTCCTTCTCCCGCCTCCCTCTTCTTTCCCAGCTTTCCCAGATCCCTTCCCTATCTCCACAGTCTACCCTCCTGTCTCTCGCCATCTCTTTTGTATTGTTCTTTTATTTTGAGTCTTTGGTATGAGAGGAAACCATGCTATATTTAAACCTTCTGTGTCTGATTTATTTCACTTAGCATTATGTCTGACCACTACATATATTTCTCTTAAGCAGAGAAACAAATAATATTCCTGAGCCTTATGTATGTCTTCATATTATTACTACCATTATCAAAATGCATTTATCCTGTTGACACCTGAAATACTGTGTTTGGATACCTTATACTGTTATATTAATGCAGTAGAGTTAGTGCAAGAATACAACAGTTCTCCAAGTCTAACTTTTGTTTGAAGTCTAACTTTTAAAAGCATATAGTAAAAGCTCTTTAGTAATGGAACGGTAGAAAAAAGAAAAAGTAGACTTATAGGCCTATCATGGTTTGTCAGACTTTTGTCAGGGTACATGGAGTTTTAAGTCAGTGAATATCACTTGACCCGGGATATACAGTTAAAATCAAATTTAGAGAGAGGTAATTGAACCCACTGTTGTACTCAGTATTGTGAGAGATATAAAAGGTTGGGAAGGGTTCACTCTTGAATTTCTAGCATACTTCTGTTGTGAAGATGAGTTGTACTAAGTGAAACCAAGGTATGGCCTCCAGATGCCATCCATGCTTGAAGACAGTGTAAAGCTAGAAGTAGGAGGGACAAGGGAAAGAGTTGCCACCAGGGACTGTGGCTGCATGGGGACTTCAGGGAGGGTACGCACCTTGTTTGGGGTCCAAAAGCATGGCCTGGATTTTGCTGCATAAGAGGTGAGGCTGCCCCAGACCAAGAGACAACCTCAGCACAAGCATGGAGGGGCCAAGAGAACCTCTTTGTCCTTGCAATGTAAAGAATGTAGGTGGCAGGAATAAAAATCAAAAGCAAGGCTTGCTTCACTGAGGGGCTAAAAGAGTTGCTAATGTTGAGGCAGTAGGCTATGGAGTATGAGGATGAACAAGGAAGAGGAAAGGAAGGCATGGATGGACCAAGGCAGCCAGAAGTTTGGACTTTGATCTGGGGGGCTGCAGGAAGTCATGGCAGGTGTTTTAGAAAGGCATTTTAGATGGGTCAATTAAGTGATGACAGGAAGGCTCTACGTGAGGGCAGTGAGTAAGCAGCTCCGAAATGGAAGTTCAAATCTCCATTCATTCGCCAAACATTATGGAGCTTCACAGCATACTTGGTGCCTGGGTTACAAACATGAGTACAGTAGTTCAGAAACTAAGAGAGGAGACCGGTGTGAAAGTCAGCAATGCCAGCTCAGCACCTTCCAAGCCAAAAGTTGCAGGAGAGCCTGACTCTGTGATTATGGATCTCAGGGCAGGTGAGACTTTTAGTGGTCCTCCGTACAACTCCTGCTCTGTGAGGTCAGAGATGGGTGCAGTGACTGCCCTTCCAGTATGAATGCAGCCGTGGAAAACTGTGTCTCCTACACTTTTAAAATAAGGGAGTATTCAGTGATTGATGTGCACTTACTCTTTAATCTTTGAAGAGGAAGTTAGACTTTCATAAAGCTATCAGTTTGAGGACCAGAGATATTTGTTCAAAACATATATGCCAATCATCAGAGAAAATGCACGTGTACTTCTTTCCCCTTTGGAGTTTACCCATATGCCTGCCATTTTTTCTGGAAAATAAAAAAGAAAAAGAATTCCAAGTTGATTATTTTGGGAGAATTAGATGCAATGGAATCAGTGGATGAAGGGCTTGATCTTAAACCTCCCCTATGCATAAAGGATGGAATGAATGGAGATGCACAAGTGTCCTCTGCCTCCTGTGGCCTTCCTGACCCCATGATCTCCATGAACACTGTCAGGTCGTGGAGGGAGCACAGCCCATGAGATCCATTCTCATCCAGCTTCTGGCTCTGCCATTTCTTTATTGGCTTTGACTCAGTCCCTGGGCAGGGCACTGATCTTTACTTTTCTCATCTTTAAGCAGCAAAGTAAGGCCCACACTCCAGACTCAGAGAATTATTACAAATATTATTACAAATTAAATAAGATAATTAATATGTGCTTGTTTCGAAGTGGAAGATATGCAAAGTGTAATAGTGGTATTTCTTCCTCAACAGTTTATCCCGACTATAAGGTCATGGAGAGCTTCAATTTTGGTGGTGGCCCTTGTTCACTTCTGTGTGGCCTTCTTTGTAGAGGTAAGCACTTTCTGCATGGATCTTGTTTATTTTCTAGGGAGATAAACTAATAAAAATTCTCACTCCAACAGAGGCTCACTTTTTAGAGCAAATATTTCGATTTCCCTCAAATGTTATTTATTAAAGGTTTTAAAAAACTACATGTTCTGTTTGGGGAAAATTACCTGGAGATGGATTAAAAATGTTTTGAATCCTGCTTAAAATGTTTCTGGTATCTTCTGCAGGGAGAGCAAAATGTCAGATTTGGTCTCCTTTGGGTTTCCATGAAGGCATTGTGCTGTGCTTCTGTAATGGGCTCAGTGCTCTAGAGAGATGGGACCAGGTGACTTTGCAGCTAGAGAATTCGATAGACATTTCAGGGTGCCAAGCAGTCTTCGGGAGCCTCCCCAGTTAGAGAAGGGAAACTGCTGCCCATGCCCCAATTCCTATCTCAAGTCTGCTGCACACCACTGCTCTACTCAATGATTTCTCTCACTCAGCGAAAGGCTGAGGAGCTCCTTTTAGAAGAAAAAAGTAAGTAAGTAAATAAATAAATAAATAACTCATATAAGTAACTCCATAGGGAAAAGAGATCAATCAAATTTTAGCACGTAGATCTAAAGACTCACATACAACGTGCACAAAATGTATCATATTGTTTGATTCAGGATTCAAAATGGAATTCAAATTCCATTTTGAGATGGTATTTAAAGGGTTAACCCAAAGGAAACAGGAAAAAAAATACCCTACGGATAGGAGGATATTCATCTTAGTATTATCAATGATGGCAAAGTAAAATACTCAGTGTAAGCCTTGTATTGAAATGTACAGCGACTTTAAAAAATGCTACTCAGTCTTTAACATGATTAACCAAGGAGACTGTAGCTGTGTTCTCGCCGCAGTAAAATTTTGAAAAATATCATTGGTATGTAAAAACTGTATATGACAGAAAGTCTAGTATATACAAAAGTGGAACAAAAAATTGGACAGAGTCTATTGTTATAAATGTGTAAGAATTACATAAGCATATGAACATGAAGAAAGGGAGATTCAAAAATTGAAAACAAGACCCATTTACTTGCTAGAATCCATCCATTCATTTAAGAAGCATTTATTTGATATCCTATATGTGGCAGGTGGCAAGTAGCTGGAATAATAGGCTTGAATTTTTTTCCTTTTCTTTTTATTGAGTACATTATTGTTATTATTTCAGTCTGGCAGAAAAGAATTCTAAGTAAATTACTAGTCAACATTCAACTAGGAAATCTGTAGAGATGAAAAGCTGTGAGCTTTGGGTGGATTTTTGTGAGCAGACACAGCCCGAAGCTTCTTGAGGGAAGAATTAGGGGACATGAGGGAGGAGTATGGAACCTGGGGGGCACAAGTCGCTGAGCCACCTGGCTGCAGGAGGACCTGCAGAAGAGCTTGACTGTTTTCCTATCTGATTTTCCAGGATGGCATCCTTCAAAACCGACAGCTCTGGCTTGTGATCAAGAAAGAATTTGGATTCTACTCAAAAAGTCCATATAGGAAATGGCAGAAAAAATTGGCAGATGATGCTACCTGGCCTCCCACAAACAAGACGATTTATTCAGGTGAAAGCAGGACGATTTATTCAGGGGATGGATTCTATGTCAACAAAGGCTATGAAAGCCCTGAACAGGTCCCCAAGGAAAAACTCAAATTGGGAGGCCAAGCCACAGAGCAGCATTTCTGGACGAGACTGTAATCAGGATCGTTGTTGCACATGTTTCCCAGCATCATCTTTTTTCCTCCAAATTAGGGCCTTGTGGAGAGGTGAGGCTAGCGTACTCTTATCTTTCTCCCTCTGAGCATCCAAAAACTCATTTCTTGGTGTAGTGAATCTTGCAGCAAAGGACGTTGAATTTATCTATTTTGACTCTTTTACTATCAAAAGAAAATGTGCATCTCTTGGATCATCATTTTTAATAAACCTTGTATTGTGTAAAATGCATAGCTCCTAAGGTGATAAAATTAGAAATGTGAACATCATAGAAGAAAGGAAAATCAAGGAAACACTTGGTCTTTGAACATTTGATCAATATATTAAAAGTCACAAATTTCCTTAAATTTTCCATGTGTTTGAGGACATTTATGTACATATCTTTTTTAAGGTCATTAAATTTCTCCTTTTCCCTGCTGTCATAGGGTTCTAGAAGTTAAGAGTTAATGTTTACTTTAGAAAATTGAATCCTACCTACATTGTGAGCCAGAGTTGCATGGAAGTGGACAAAGAGAGTTTGTGTTAGTCGCAGATCATCCTGGCATGGGCGTGGCTAATATCTATGCAAACTACACCAAAGGATAGCATCTCCCAGAGCACATTGTTTTGGGTCCAGTGAGCAGAAAATCCAGAGTAATTCACAAATGAAATAAATAATGAAATAAATTTAAAATGTGCTTTTCACTTTAAAAACTGTGGCTCTTTAAACTTACTTTTTATTATTGATATACGAAAACCTTCTAACTCTAAAAATTGGCCAGAACTGAATATAGTTTATCTTGTTTTTAAAAATGCTAGGAGAGGGACCTATGCTTGTATCTACAGCATGACAATTTCAGGCTACTTGAAAATTTTGTGTCTGATCTCATTTTTTAAGTATCAAAATCATCTTAGGTACATTTTATTTCATTTTATTTTTGGTACTGGGGGTCAAACTTGGGTCCTTGCACTTGTGAAGCAGGCGGTACAATCACTGAGCTAAATCCCTGGCCTTTAGGTACATTTTAAAGACCATAGAAAGGGTGGTCCTTTTACAAATATATTCTGTACACTGTTACCTTTAATCTACTTACCTTCCTCACTGTGAACTTAAGAGGAAACTTATTCCTGGTGAACATTTAAAATTATCTACTGGGTTTTCTTAATAATTTTTGTAATTTAACAGATTTTTAACAGATTATGGTTTGTGCACTTGTGACATAATCCTGCACCCCCGTGACTGTCTTTTGGAGTGGAAGCATAGAGAATTCTCTTAATGGTTGAGGCCCTCAGGTTCCAATCCTACCTAGTCTCCTGTTCACCAGTGGTAAATTGGCCATGACCAGGTCCTTTGCTTAGGATTAAGATTTGCTCTCTGTAGACGTCCTTTATTGAAAAGCAAGTGCACCAATTAATATGTATTAATAGTAAAACTTTCTTTAAAAAAGCACCACATGAGCTCAGTGGAGCCACACCTGTGTCACAAGTGCAAGGTCTTGAATTCTATCCCCAGTACTAGGAGGAGGATGAGGGGGGAGGAGGAGGGAGAGGAGGAGGAAGAAGAAAAAAGCACACATGGAGAAAGTTAATACGTTACATTGCAGTTGGTTTTCCCCTAATTTGACAGTTCTAGGCAATGGCTCTTTGATTAACTATTACTTGGGAACTGGGTATAAAGGTCCAGTGAGGGTCTGAATTTGGAATAAAAGCAAAAGGGTCATTTTGAATCTTGGCACCTGGTTGGAGACATTCATATCTTCCTAGAAGACCAGTGAAAATAGAGAGGATTTGGGATGATCCAGAGTTGGTGTCATAAGAAAGTGAAGTCGCTTAGCATGAAGGAGGGAAGAGTGAAAGGGTCTGTGTTCGCTGGGACTGTCGCACACAACCCCTTCTGTTACATCATGCTTTACTCCTGCAAGTAGCTTGTAGACTAATCAGGCTTTGGGTAACATTTCAGCCAGTTGGATAGGTCTAAGATTTTCACTGAAACTTCTCTTTACTTTTATCTACCACGTTCTAGTTCCCTCATCACATTCTGCCCCCAGATTTACTGGAATGTTTCCTTTATTTTACACCACGCTTTTAGCAGTGGAACAAGAAGGGTGCCACTGACCAGGAGTGTGGTTCGTGGGAACACGATGTCCCGTACAATCTCGGTGCAAAGACAACTGGGCCCACTTTTCCTTACCTGCTTCCACCAAGAATTCCCCTGGAATAGTACTAAGAAAATCATTTCTTTTAACACACAATCAGTAGAATGAAAGTATAAAAGTATGATGCTCCTTGACTTAGCATAAAAAGGCTAATAAAAAGGTGGGGTGGGATATAGTTTTCTAAATATGACATTTCAACCAATATTTAATGATCTCTTGCTGAGGTTAAAAGGTCAAACCCAGAAATACTTCAAAATCTAAAGGGAAAAACAGAACTCTGTAGAAATAACAGCCCAGGTCATTCATGGTCTCTGATCTACTCTTGACAAGCAAATAGATCCAGGGAAATCACTGGATCCGCACCTTTAGTGCGCAAAATCCCTCTTTCCCTCCCTGCCATCCCACATCCACGCAGGTGCAGGAAGATGGTGTACCCCTCCCATGGTTTGTAACAGAGTCCTTCCAGCTGTCGCACCAAACACTATTTCAGTTTCTTTTTCGACAAGAAAAGGAATGTGAACATAGGTGTCAATTCTAACAATTCAGAGCTCTTAACATTTCTTTCAAAACCGTGTATAAATGATTCTCCACTCCTTTGGCAAAATAACCACCCTTAGGGAGGAGGAAAACAATATTTATAGTAGAAGATAAAATGTGATGTGATTTTGTTAAGATCCTCTGCTGGTTCGCTGAAAAGGCTACTGCTTTTTTTTTTTTTTTTTTTAATTCAAGCTGCCGCAGCAAATCTATATAAATAAGGAAAAAATTTCCTTGGCTCAATGATAATATCAGTAATCAATTTATTAAAGATCATGCCATCCATCATCAGAAAGTGGAACAATAATGATGCATTGAAAATAAGTATTCACTTCAGGGTTTTTTTTTTCTCTTCACAAATTTCTTCAGTTCCAATATCTCTTCGATAAATTGTTAACAGTAGTTTGTTCTTTGTCTTTTTGGAAACAAGCCCAGAAAGGAGAAGGCACTAACAACAGCTGTCACCAGTCCAATAGTACTTACTACTCGGTTGGCCTAAAAGGAAACAAGAAGCAAAACCCACACCTTATTCTTAAAACATCTCAGTGTGCGAAATGTAGTGCTATTTTGTTTCCTAATCGGAAGACTTGTCTTAATATAGTTACTATTTCAGGTTCAATGCCAAATCAACATTGTGTATGGAGTTGAAGAAATTAGATGATAATGTCTATAATTATATGCAAGGTGCAGATAAATACACATCAGCTTGTATTCCTCATATGTTTGAAGATCCTGATAGCTATGCCATCATGAATCATCACAGGACATCAGAGGGAGAGGTATCAGGACTCCTGCTTTGCAGCACTTGAAAGTTAGAAGGGATTTGCAGGAGGATGTACCGCCAAGATGGGCAGAGATAAGCTGAGTCCTCTGAAACCCATCCTGTTCCTCTGTGTGTCCCCCAGCTCCTGAAAGTGCACTTTGGCTGGGTCTGTACCAAACTGATCATTGAATGTGTTTGAGTGTGTGTTTTTGAGTGTGTGTGTGTGTGTGTGTGTGTGTGTGTGTTTTACTAAATCTGGGCTAAATACCCATAAGCTCTTATTTGGTAGACATGATTGCCATTCTGATGAACAAACTTCACAAAAAGTCAATACTGATGTTAACTATCATGTCAAATTAATTTCTCATATAGATAACATAAAATAAACCACTCTCAAGCTCATTTGTCCATAAAGGAGTTCAGAGAGCTATAGCTTTAAGCGGATTAATCACCACAATATTCATGGTTTTCACGGCACTCCACTGATATGCCTTCTGCCACACGGGTTTGAGTGCAGTTTTATGACCCAAAGGTCACATTCAGACATTCCAGAACCATCAGGTAGTCTGAAAACAACATTGCTTCTCTGGGATTCGAGGATCAGGGTTTCCAAATACAGCGAAACATTTTCCTCAAGGGACTGGGGACCAGTCCGACAGCGGGCCCCTGACCCCCTTCACATCTGAGCCTGTCCCCGGTCTATGGCACGGACTTCCACCCTGAGCCTGCCACACCACATGACTGCAGTGCAGTGCTGCCTCCCCAACTGCTGCTTGCCTGGCCTGGCGGGTAAAGACAGGAAAAAATCAGGGCCGGGAAACAGACACAAGGGAGGAGCATTTGGAGCATGGATCCACTGCCTTACGCTATCCTGCAGTCCACAGGGCAAAGGTCTACACTGAGACTGCCTGACTCTGCTCCAGCCACCACTGAACAACCGGACCCTGACAAAGACTACTTTGGCTTATAATTTTACTTTGGGGATTATTTGATTTACTAATTTTAATTAATCCACTACCTAAATTATTCCCCAGGGGGGAATCAGAATTCAAGGCAGCATGGAGATTTGGACAAAGCATATTGGGGACAGAAAAGGAGGTACAGAGCTGCAGAATGTTGAACAAAAGTTCCAAAGAGGGGGAGAGGTTGATAATTCATAGGGACCAGGATTCTAAACCAAGCCCAACCCTAGCACAATTCCAGGTAGATGCTGAAATCCACAAGTGGGTCCATAAGGGAAAACAATGGGGCAGGCAACAAAACACTTGAAATTCGATAAATGTCTTTAACCAGAAGTGTCACGGGCCAGCAGGGGAATTTCTGGACGGTGGGGGTCTGATGGCCCTAGCTAGGTGTAAGGTGTACTGAGGAGGTATTTTTCAGCCTCTAGAAAAACAGGATGCTACAGAAATGTCATAAACAGAAGAGGCTTGGGAGGAGGGGATGAGCAACTGGATCCCACACCCAAATCACCTGAGATGGCAGAGCAGGCACCATTCCGGAGGAGTGTGGCATTGTCCCAAACCCCAGCTATTCATTTCATTCAAGTCTCATTCTACATCACAAAAGCCCATGTAACCAGGACTATCCCTCTGAGGACCCTGCAATGACGTCTGTTCTGTAGGACTGTGACACGCCAGGATGCTCTCGGTGGGCCAGCAGACACAGGAGCTTTCACTAGGTGACTTACTTAAGATTCAAAAGTCCCCCAAATCTGACTCTGTGCATTCTTTAACTTTTGCAAGATTTTATGTCTATAGAGCACAATAAAGGTTTCATTCTGAGGCTCTGGTCATGCCCAGTGAAATACTAGCTGAATTTGGAGAGGCTGTGTACAGATGCCTGCAGGGTTTATCAAAAGCCTCTTCCCTGAGAGCTGAAGGCTGCTGTGGTGCACAGAAGCACAGACAGGGCATATTTGTGTGCTGGCTTGTTCAGGCAAATTCAAAGTTGTTACCATCTCATACAAACCTAGACACATTTTAATAACTTGTTTGTACTCTAACAGTAAGAAAATATTGTTTTTATGCATTTTGAAAAGTGCAGAAGAAAAGATAAGCCACAAACTGGGAGAAAACATTTGTGAAAGACAAATCTGATAAGGTGCTGTTATCCACAAGATACAAAGAACTCTAAAAAATTCAACAGGAAAATGAAAACTGCAATAGAAAAAAGGCAAAAAATATCAAGACACAAGATCACTAAAGATGATATGAGAAAAGAAAAAAGGGGAAACAAAGTCTTCATGGATAGAGAGCAGCGGAGGGATTGAAGGGAGGGCAGGAGAATGGGGAAAAATAACTGAGATATATTCTGCAAAGGTACATATTCCCAATGACAAATGTCAGCAGATTATATACCTAAAATGGACCAATAAAATTAATAGAAAAAAGATGATATACAGAGGACAAATAAGCATATATAAAAAGAAGCCCAGTACCACATGTGACTAGGTAACTGCAAACTAAAACAACAAGATATCCCAATATGCCAATGGAAATAGCTTATATCCCAAATACCGGCAACATCAAGTGCTGGCTAGCATGTGGACCAGCAAGAACTCTCATTTGTTACCTGTGGGAAGGCATGATGTTACAGCATCCAAAAAGCCTCATACTTTCTGGTTTCGATTGCATGACATTGTAGAAAAGGCTAAAAAATTAAAAAAAAAAAATCAAAACAAAAACAACACCCCCAAAACCTTCATGGCTGCCAGCTTATGGAGTAAGGAAAGGATGAATAGGGAGAGCATAAAATTTTGGTGCACAGAGACTATGATGGTGAGTATATGCCATTTTGAATTTGTCCAAACTCACGGAATGTGCAACACACAGTCATCATAATACAAAAGCATGGATTTTATGATGATTTGTCAGAGTTGGTTCATCGGTTTTAAGACACAGAGCACACTAACAGGGGAGGGTGGAGGGGGTGAAGGTAGGGCAGGGGCATGGGAAAAATCAGAACTGAGGCCTGTTGTGTGAAGGTGTGAGATCCCAGGGATGACTGTAATGGCACGGTGCACCTAAAAAGCACCAGTAAACTCAATGAGAGAAAACAAAAGACATAGTGCACACTGATGTTACATTAGGTGTCAGAGGATTTTATGTGTTACGTGGAGGGAAGAAAACTTTGTATTATCTGCCCAATTGTGCTGTGACCCTAAAACTTGCTTTGAAAGTTGTCATTTAACGCCTAAAAATACAGAAAATCACTAAAGGATGAAAAGAGGGAACCAGGTCTTTCCTTCTAATCATTTCTATGCATTTATAACTTTTTAAATTGGAGCCATACATACCCTTTTCTCCAGAAAAAAATTTCCAAGCCTAATTTCCCAAAGCCTTAAGGGAACCCAAAAACGAATGACTCCAATACTAGCTATTAATTAGCAGTAATACATTAGTTTACTGATACATAACCCTGGCTCTGTCGTTTCTTTTTGTTTTTATTGAGTCTAACAAAGGTTAATAAAATTCCTAAAATACTGTAATTGAAAAAAAAAATCCATTGTAGGCAGGCTGCATGTGAAGATGAAGAAATTATAATGCAATATGATGAAGGAGACCTGAAATGTCTTCTGTAACCTTTAAAACAACCTCAGTGTACAGAGTAGAAAACAGAAAATCCATTGTAGGCAGGCTGCATGTGAAGATGAAGAAATTATAATATAATATGATGGAGACCTGAAATGTCTTCTGTAACCTTTAAAACAACCTCAGTGTACAGAGTAGAAAACAGAAACAGAGTGTGCCCAAGGTGACTCTGCAGGGAAGTAGTGAAGACGTAGCAGCTCGTGTCAACAAAATCTAGAGCTTAGGTAGGTTCTTGGGGCTGTCGCGACATGGTCATTTCTATCATCACGAGAAGTGGCTGGAGACAAGTTCTACCTTGTGTTGGTGCAAGTTCTACCATGACTATGTTTTCATGGATCTGGAGTCTGGGTTGATAAGATGAAAGGTGATGAGTAGCAAGTTAGAGTCAAAGCAAGAAGATCACTTTAACCCACTTTTATTGGGCAAATCATTACTTGATGGAAGTGTGATTAGCATGCAAAAGGCAACAGACTTTTAATACGTGCAACTTGGTGTGTTTGGAGATAGGCATACGAGCCTGGTCACAACAAATGTGCAACACTTACTCATCACCTCCAAAAGTTTCCTCCCACCACCCTTGTTAGTTTTTTTGTAGTAATTTTGTTTTGTTCACTGGGCTTTCTTTTTTCCCCTTCTGTGTTATGAACACTTCACCTAACATGTATTCCTATAGCAAAATTTAAAGTACCTGCCACAGTTAACATGCTAGAGCTCCAAAGTGAATTATCTCACATAACTGAAGTTTATACCTTTGACCAATACTGCTCCATTTTAATGATCCTTATAAATAAATAAATAAATAAATAATAAACCACAGCTAGGTGCAGTGAAATCCTTTACCATTAGAAAAGAAACGGGATGGTGCCTACTTCCTGGCTGTATCACTAGTTTCCAATGCAAAGGTTAGGAGGAATTTGTGTGTAGCCTCTATGTTTTAGCTCAGAAGCAATTATTGTTATGTATGAATAAAGCATTCATGAAGTTAATGTGTTTCTTAGTGACAATGAATTTCCAGTTATTTCCTAATGATAACGCCAAATGTATCCTTTCTTTCACTATGTATTAGCTCCTACTTCCCCAAGCATTTTTTGAGAGGTGCTGAACCTCACTGCTGAGACAAAAAGTTTATATACCAGATCCACATTTTGAAAGTTCTGGAAGTCTTGAATAGATTTGGGTTTTCAAAATGTTATTAAAAATTTTATGGTGTTATTCTCCTAAGTTTTAATCTTTCAAAAAGTGTTTTTAAAGGTTAACAGATCCATCAAATTTATTAGCTATGAAATTACTTTTGATATTTTAATTTAAAAAATTAACATCTATGTATTTTGGGTGAAGAGCATTTCCTCTGATAGTAGTTTTATGTATTCATTCTGCTCCATCACCTTGATAAATCTGCAGCTTACAGCATCAGTGATGGAATCAGATTGGTGGGACAACAGGTAGCGTCAGGGCAAGTGAAGTAAACATGCAGTTAGTTGAGAATCTGGTCTACTGCAAAATGCTGGTGGAAGCAGTCACATTTGTGATGTACTATAAAGTCAACTAATCCATTCAAAGTCACCCAAGAGCACAATTAATCAAAGGATCTACTTAAAAATGCTATGCTGCATTGAAAATATTTCATTGCAAGAAAACATAAAATATGTACACACCCACCAGGATGCACCATCATTTGGCCTCTGCCCACTACTAGAAAAGAATCTCAGGTTGACAATCCATGTTACTGGTAAATGGACCCCCACTGAAAAAAGTCAACATCCTTTTTGGCTTATTCTCTTTGGTACCTGCGGTTATTGGTTTGAGTTTGCTGTGTGGCAGGGTAAGAGGGGAATTTTAAAGAACAAAAGGCAATAAAACTGCCAGAAAGCTGTGCCTTGGTTCTACTTCAAATCCCCAATGTGAATGCCTAGCCCCAAATTAATTATATCCACAATGGTCAGTCACTTGCTGCACAACCTTGAACAAATCAATTTTCTTCTCTCTCCTTCAGTTTTTCATATTTTCATGTTACTTTCATTTTGTTTGACTGTAGGGAACCTCGCTATAGCTGGCAGTTATGGTATCCTAAAGGTATGGGACTTCTGCGTCCCCTAAAGCAAACTCACCTGTTCCGAGACTCCTTCTCCATAGCGAAGCAAAGTCACAAAATGCTCACAGTTGTTATCCAGGACGTCATATGCCACCTCCTCTCCGATGATAAACTCTGACCTCTGAATGACTTCCTCCACAGGAAGAGGGGGGTGCATATTGTCGTATTTATTGTTTATTCTGTAAGTGTCATTTCCCACAACATCCTTCAGCAGCTGCATCTTGACCAAGGCCTTTGTGCTGAACACAGACTTGGCACTTGTCAGTGTTGAAGGGATGCCATCTACAAGGAGAATTCTGGTCAGCAAGGGCTAGGGTTCCAGCTCCCAACAAAAGACTTCCAAGATGCTGGTCTAGCTTTGGTCTTTATGTATCCTCAAAAGAAAGCCCTCTTAATCGCATCGTCCATAAGCACTCATTCTGCAAATATTATCAGTACTACTCAACAATGTGTAAGTGTGAATATAGAAAAGTTCTAAAACTTTGTGATCTTCTCACAGAATAAATTGGGTGAGAACCCTCTACCTGTTCTTGGGAAACAAGTTGTCTACAGATTAGTGTGGCTATAAGAGATCTTCTGTATGGGTTCCTAGCACAGTACAGGTAGGATTACTGCTTGCTTTTTCTACGATGCAGTTCTTTCTCAGCACTGACAAAGATGCACATGAATGGCATCTCACAGCTGGGTGACTCAGGTGAGGAGGAGTCCCCATGTAACCAGCATTTAAAAATATTTCTCTGTTAGCAGCTATCTTAGTCACTCTCTTGCCAATGGGACACAATACCCACTGGTCACAATTTAAAGGAGAGGTTTATTTTGGCTCATGTTTTCAGCCCACAGTCAGCTGACTGCAAGGCAGAAGCAGCATGGTAGAAAGTCTGTGCAGAATAAGCCTGCTCATGTCACAGCAGTCAGGGACAGGAAATGGAGATAAACACTTCCAGGTCACACTCCAGTGACCTGCCTCCATATGGGCCCAACCTCCTGACATTCAGCCATGGATTCATCAGTGGACTCACCCACTGCAGAGGATTGTACCCCGTGATCCAATCACCTCTCAGCAGGCATAAGAACCTTCTGGGGGACACCCCAGCTCTCAACCAGAACAATAATGACAAAAAGCAAGCATTTCGATTACTCTTTTGTCCATCATCTTTCCTAACGGAGAAGCATTTTCCAGTTAACATTACCCATAGAAAGTTCTTATGCATTCCAAGCATATCTATCCTACTTAGAACTGCTAAACCCTTTAAAAATTATTTAAAACTCAGTGGAGGGGGCCGGGGATTTAGCTCAGTGGTACCATGCCTGCCTTGCAAGAGCAAGGTCTTGAGTTCGATCCCTGGTACCGCAAAAAACAAATAAACAAAACCATCCAGTAGAAACATGAAGGAATTGACCACAGAGAGGTAAACTGGCTTGAAAAAATATCACAGTGGTTAACAATAGAGAGAAATTAAATTTCAATCCATAGGATCAAAGCTCAGACCTTGAATCCCGAGGGCGTATGAACATGGAGTTTCACAGTGCAACCTAGGAAGACAGCACTATCTTCCAGATGTAAGACATAACGTAGATGCACAAGTTTTTTTTCTTCAAATGTTACTTTTTTAAAAATTTGTGCTGAGTATTTAATTTCAAGGACAGTGCCTACCTATCAAGCTCTGCTTACAACCTTCTAAGCTTTCTCTAGGCTGATTCTCTAAACTTTTCCAAACTTTTCCCACAAGCCAGTTCCAAAGACTTCTGAACTATATAGTTTGGTATAGGTACAATGACTTGTCTAGTACACATTTTCTGTATTAGTCAGCTTTCTTATTGCTAGGAAAAATATCAGATACCCACAATTCAAAGGAAGAATAGTTTGTTGTAGCCCAAAGTTTCAGAGGGTTCAGTCCCTGGAAGGCTGACTGCAGGGCAGGGACATCATGGCAGAAGGACACGGTGATTTATTTTTTCCACATTGCTTATCTCCCTTTTAGCATTCACTCTGGTGATTTGTTCTTGGTTCTCTCTACATACTAAAATATAAATTTCACTATGCCAGGAAATTTCTATGAATTCCTAGTCCTAAAATGACATTCAGTACATCCTAGGTAATGTATCAAGAGGCATTGAATGAATTAAATCATCATCTGTGATCTATAAGGATAGCAAACTTACTCTTGTCTGTGGTAAATATCTCCTCCAGGTGGATATTAGTTTCAATTTTAATTGTGAATTTTTTAGATATAAAGGTTTTAAATTTTAACATTGGTTGACCTTTGTGATTTCTTTGATGGCACTCCGGTCTTTCTCTCTGCTAAACCTGGATTTGCTGTATCTACTTCCTGCATTTTAGTTTTATTTCGTCCGTTATTTTTCTTATTTTGAGTAAAGTGTAAACTTCCGGGAGCGACTGTCAGCAAGCCTTACCTGTAGGGGCTATGTTGACGACATAACCATCACCCAAGTACAGGGCCCAGTGCTGATAGCCAGGACGGAGTACTTCAATCAAGTCCCCGGGGTGAGGGTTTCCAGGGCAAGTCAAGCTGAAGCAGTCATCGAATGCCATCTGCAATGATACATGGCAGGAAGCTAGGTAATACGGCTGGCCCTAAGAGAATCAGGCTTTTGTCAGAGCATTTCCTTCGTTAGTACGAGTTTGTAGCACATGATGGTCACACTCCTTGTGTGGCGCTGGTGCATGCACACAGCACATCTAAATTCTTTTTTGTCCCCTTTCCCTCTCCTTCCTCTCCATTCCCTGCATCTCTTGAGTCCTTTACCTTTTGAGAAAGACCTCTCTCCCTATTACCAATTACTTATCTTTTATTTTGCTCTCACGTATAACTTGGGTTTCTCCTACAAGGGAAAGCGTGTGATATAAGTGCTGTGTGTCTGATGATTCACTTAACAAGACTTACACTGATTCGAAGGGGTGCAGACTTGACACCCATATCACTTGACTCATGTCACTTTCCTTATCTTTTAATGACTCCAACACTGCATTACGTTTGCACAAATAGACAAATCCAGAAGAAATTTGTCTCCTCGTTTTCTTTCTTTTTTTGGTACCTGTGATCGAACTTGGGTCGTTATGCCTGCGAGGGAGGTGCCGGAACCACTGAGCTAAATCCCTGGCCCTTGTCTCCTCTTAATTAATTTTCTGTAGTAGTGCTTTTCTCACCTTTATCATTTCCAACAGATCAAGCATTGTGTAATTATTTCAATCTCAAAATTCATGGTTAATATAACACACATAAAATTTCAAAAAATATTAAGTATTAAAATATGTCCTGTTCATCGTAGAGGGGAAATGAAAGGAAATTAAATGTTTAAGATATTTCTGTTTTATTATGTAAATGCTCAGGACACGTCTAACTAAAAGCTGTTACGGGATTCAAGAACATGAACTCAGAAGTCTTTCAGCCATTTATGTGCTACGTAGTAAAATCAAGGAGGAGAGGTATGGGTAGATGCTAATATTATGTGACCATTAAGATTCTTCCAAAATGTATCTTGTATTATAAAACTTACTTTGTGGCTTAATTTTAAACAGAGATAGGTTCCAAGCACAGATGGATGTGCCCGGCCAGTTACTCAGGCAAATGTTGGATATGGGACATTTCTCTCACGTTCAGAAACATGCTGTGCATTTTAGCATGTCCAAGTACACTGGCCCCCATTCACTAAATATCAGTTGATGCCCTCTGCCATTGTAACAATCACAAATGCCACCTTTGACTTCCACCATTCTACTTTCTGCCTCATTTGTCTCCTGATTCCTCACTTACTGATTCCAGAAATATTGCAAGGTAGTCATGGGTAGAAGTGGGACAGTTTGGAAGTCAGGAGAGTTTGTCATATGGGTGAGCATGCGGGAACATTCTAAGTCTCGGTGAGATCTTTCTCTCTCCTAAACCAACACTCTTCAGAAAGAACATATAAGTCACTGATGGTTGATTTTTATGATTACACTTTCTTCATGGGGAGTAGAAGTAGACTAATTCAGTCAGTGAAAGTTATACACATTTACCCACAATCAAGGGGAGATTCAATGGTATATGTGTGCTGACTCTTCAATTGACAACAAGGTAGCTCTCACCATCTCACTGTAATGCGGATATGCATGCTCATTTACAAAATAAATCTGAGTGCCAGAAATGGAATCTTCCAAATTATCTAAATTATGATTATAATAGCACAGTCTAAGGACTTGGGAGTATGACTTTTATTTCTCTGGCGCTCTAAAAAGTCTTTTTTTGCAGCACTTCGTAATGGGAGGGTGTTTTCCCGATTATTAGTATGCCATCTGTTGAAAAACTTCAATCATCACACTGTTACAGAATTGTGGCCAAATGTAAGCTGTCCATCTGTTGAAAAATAACTATTAAAACAATTTTATGGAAACCATTAACTCTAACCGCCCTCTCAAAGATATCTGAATCATACTAATGTGGTAGCTCCCAATTTGGCCACATGAGTACTCAAAGGAAGAACAGATAATACACTGTGATGTAAACAAGCACATTTCTCATGAATCAGAATCAACAAGCACACACAGCTGTCTACTGGAATCTGAGACCTAATATAGTTGCAGATATTAAAAATAACCAACTTTTGAGCAGGCAACACTTTGAAATGTATCATTTTTTTTCAGACACACTATCTCAATTAACCCTATTTAACTAAACAAATGAAGACACTCAACAACTTTCTGAGTTTATGTCATGACCCTGTTTTACAGATTAAAAAGCTATGGTATGCCACCTTTTAGAAAATATCTTCCTAGGACCTTGTATTATAAAGTAGAAATGGAAAATAACCAGGCCAGACATTAATATGTGAGCTCTTCTCTCAGTCTTCTACTTGATACATGTTAGTGCTATGACTTTGGGCAAGTCCCTTTATTTTGATGATAGGCATAAAAATATAAGGCTATTTGAGATCTCAAGAAGCTGCTGAAAATAACCCTTTGCAATCTGCCTAAAGTTGAAGCAAATGCTTTGTGAAAACTAGTAAAGCCAGACAGGTGATGGTGAGAGAAAACTGGTTATCCGCAAAGCTTGAGGTTGGTTCATGGCTTATGTGTGATTTTGCTACCTTATCCTTTCTTCCTGTCATCGGAGCTCTAGGAAACAGATGGTTCCACTGCGAGATTTTACTATATTTAACACATTTTCAATTTTCGACAGATAGTCATCAACTGATTTACGAAGTGCAAGGTAAATGACTGCACAAAGCCCATCATATGTATAAAAAGAGACGACAGGATAACAAGGGAAACATTTCACACGAGTACACCCTCCGGAAAATAAAGGAGGAGCCTGAAGGCTGATGTGAAATGGGAAAAGTGAATTCTGACATGGTCAACTTAGAATCACAGCAAATCGCTGCAGAAAGAGACTTCACATCAACTGGTCTCAGAGTTCATTTTAGCTGTGAGAACGTCGTATCCAGCTACCTGTCAGATCCTCAAATCCATAAAATGTAAAAGCAGCACCCAAGGAATTCAGAAAGGCAAGAAGATCACCAGCTGCTCCTGCTGTGGTCCCTGCTGCTATCGTGCCTTCCTGGTAATGCAGCTTGAATAACACCCATCTGGTTGTAATCCACATATCTTATTTTTAAGACAAGGAAACAGAACCAGGCAGGTCATTTTAACTGGCAAAAATCATACGATATTGTGCAAAAGGTTTTCAACAATTCGTGCTGGAGTAATTGAACATCTATGGGTAAAAACACAAACATAAAACATACACAAAACAAAGAAAAACCACCAACACCAACAGGTATCTGCTGAAATCCTGTACCTAATACCAAAATGTAAAGCTGTGAAATGGAGGGAAAGAACAGAGGAGAAAGTTCTCAGGAGTTAGGGTAGACAAAATGTCCTTAGGCTCGATACCAAAAGTATGCTCCGCAACAGGAAAAAAAAAAAAAAAAGATAAATTTTGGGTCTTCAGAATTAAAAACATTTGAACTCCAAAAGTGAGCACCAGTATCTAGAACATACAGAGGAGTCTCAAAGCTCAACCGTGAATGAAGCAAACAGTACAATCATACTGTAGGGAAAGACACGAACACACATTTCACCAAAACTAACACACAGATGTCAGGTAAAGCATGTTCAACATCAACAGGCATTAGGTAGATGCAAATGAAAACTGCAGTGAGATGCTACTACAGATCTACTAGAAATAAAAAAAATAGTGGTAATGTTCAATGTTAGCAAGGATGTGCAGTAATTGCATTACACGTTCAATGCTGGTGCAAATGTAAAACGGTATAGTGACTCTGGAAATGATTTGATCGTTTCTTTAAAATTTACCTCGTGGTTACTACAGGATTCTATAATTGCGCTCCTGTTTTTTTAATCATAGAGAATGAAGGCAGTGAGAATGCTCACCCAGAAGCTTGTACACAAATTTTTATAGTTGCTTTATTTATTTCATAATGTCCTCAGACTAGAAACGATTCAGCTGAACTTCCATGGTGAATAGTGTGCTCTCAAGATTAAAATGACTAGTGACATCTAGAACTCACTTTTTCATCCACAAAGAAGACCCAATGTAGTAGGGTTGCAGTCGCATTTTGAGGTGAGTGACTATAGGAGAACACTGGAAAACAGCAGGAGCACCCCAGTTTCATCAATGAATAGATCATTTACACGAAAGTAACAAAGAAACATCATTTAAACTGTGCTGTATATCAGATGGACTTGATGGCCATTGATACATTATTCCATCCAACAGCTGAAAAATACAGTCTCTTTATCAGTGAATGAAATTTCCTCTAGAATACATTGTGACAAGTCTTAACAAATTCAAAAACTTGAATCATATTCTGTATGTTTTCTGGTAACAATGGAATAAATGTAAACACCAGCAAAAAGATTAAAAGTGTAGGAGTACATGGAAACTAAAAACCGTACTTTTGAATGAACAGCGGGGAACTGAGGAAGCCACAGGGAAGTTGAAAAATTTCTCAAAAGAAATGAGAATGGAAATAATATGCCAGAACTTGTGGACCAAGAGGGAAATTTATAGGGAAGTTGTCTACATTCAAACAAAAGCAAAAATGAAAGAAAGACTGATTTCAAATAACCAACCTAAAGATGCATCTCAAGGACTGAACAAAGCAAGAATAAACCAAATGCAGAATATTAGAAGGAAAGAAAAAACAAAGGTAAGAGCAGAAATAAATGACACAGTTCTTTGAAAAAATAAAATTGATAGACCTCTAGCTCAACTAACCAAAAAAGTAAAGAAAAAAAAAAGATCCAAATAAATAAAATTAAAGTAAAAAAAGGATGCATTACAACTAATATCACAGAAATGTAAAGGATCATTAGGGATTATTATGAATACTTATATATTAGCAAATTAGAAAATTTAGAAAAAATGGAGAAATATCTGCACACATAAGACCTACAAAAATTGAACCTTGAAGATATAAAAAACCTAAATAGATTAATACCAAGAAGATATTAGGTCAGTAATAAAGCATTTCTCAACATTGAAAAGCTCAGGACCAGATGGCTTCACTGTCATATAATAGTACCAAACTTCT